TCGGGGTTGGGCTCGATGCCATGTGCGCTGATGATGTAGCCCAGGAGTATACCAGATGGAACTCCAAAGATGCACTTTGAAGGGTCCAGCTTCCATCGGTACCTTTTTAGGTTGGTGAACGTTTCTTCGAGGTCGGCGATAAGATCATCGACGATCTTGGACTTGACGACCACATCGTCGATGTAAGCTTCGACATTACAGCCGATCTGTTGATCGAGGCACATCTAGATGGCCCTTTGATAGGTCACCCCGGTGTTCTTGAGTCCGAAGGACATGGTGGTGTAGCAGTACGCACCGAAGGGTGTGATGAACGACGTCTTGATCTGGTCTTCTTCCTTAAGCGAGATCTGATGATAACCGGAGTAACAGTCAAGGAAGGAGAGCAGTTTGTAGCCGGCGGTGGAGTCTACAACCTCGTCTATCCAAGACAGACCGAAGGGGTCTTTAGGGCAGTGTTTGTTAAGATCAGTGTAATCAACGCACATTCTCCATTCTTTATTCTTTTTTTGAACGAGAACAGGGTTTGCTAACCACTCAGGATGATACACTTTTTTTATGAATCCGGTAGCTAAGAGCCGTTTATTTCTACCCTAATAGCCTCCTTCTTGTCTGGCGCGAATCAGCGGAGTTTCTGCTTGATCGGTTTGGCGGTCGGTGAGACATTCAAGGAGTGCTCGATCTTCTCCCGCGGTATCCCTGGCATGTCTGTAGGTTTCTAGGCAAACACGTCGGCGTTGGCACGTAGGAAGGAGACGAGTGCGCTTTCCTATTTGGGCTCGAGATGAGCCCCAATCTTCACGGTCTTGGAGGGGTCATCGAGGTCGAGGCCGACCTCCTTTATTTCCTTGGACTTGGCGGAGGCATGAGGAGGCTCTAGCTCTAGGATCTCCATGTCGTCGACGGGCACCGTCTTGGCTTTGGTGACCACACTGGCCATCTGGATGGAGAGGTCGGTGGCTTTGGCGAGGGCGAGATTCTCTGTCTCGCAGGCGTAGGTGATGGAGAGGTTGGCCTACAGGGCCAGGACTCCTATAGGCGAAGGCATCTTCAGCACCAGATACGCGTAGTGCGGTACAACCATGAACTTGGCCAGAGCTGGCCGACCAAGTATGGCGTGGTAGGCGGTGTTGAAGTCAACGACGTAGAAGTTGATATGCTCGACACGGTAGTTGCTTGCCGTGCCGAACTGTACTAGTAGGGTGATTTCTCCAAGCGGTTTGGATGCCCTACCAGGTACCACACCCCAGAAGGAGGAGTCTGAGGGTGTGAGATCTGCTATCCCGAGGCCCAACTCCTTTAGGGCTCCGACAAAGAGGAGATTCAGAGCGCTCCGACCATCGACGAGCACTTTTATGAAAAGCACTTTCTAGACGGTTGCGTCGAGGACGAGGGGGAAATGCCCTATGTAGGGGATGTCCGCCCACTGGTCGGCCCTACTGAAGGTGATTGGGACCTCAGACCATGGGCGATAGCTGGGGTTGGCGGCGGCGTCTTCCGTAGTGACGGCGAGCACCCGCCGGGCAGCGAGCTTCTGTTCTCTTCTGCTCTCGGTGGAGGCGAGGCCCCCAAAGATGGTGGCGACCACCTTGTCATGGTCATAGAAGGCATTGTTATTGCCCCCAGGTGGTCGGCGGCCTCCGGCTCCATCGTTGGTGTCGTCGTCCAGCTTCTTGTCCTGAAACTCCTTGGTCAAGCCGAGGCAGTCCTTCATCTTATGTCTGGCGTTCTTGTGGAGAGGACACGGGCCGTCAAGGATCTTCTTGTATTGCTCATCATAGTTGCGCTTGGCGTGAGGTTCATTGACAGCAGCGACGAAGTGGTCTGGCTGGCGGCGGCGATTTTGATTAGACTTGGGTCCTTCTGGCCGATCACGGCCGCTGTCACGATGGTAACTACGGTCGTCGTAATGGCGGTCGTTGTGGCGTTGGTCGTTGAGGCAGTCGTCGTAGCGGCGTGTTGGGCGATGAGTGCCCGCATCCTCGTTGAAGTGCACCTTGGCTTCCTCGGCGATGGTGTACTGGTTGGCGGTCGTGATCATCTCGCCAATCCCTGTGGGTGGCTTGCGGTTGAACCTGGAGCGAAGCTCACAGTGATGGAGTCCTCTGATGAAGGCGGTGATGACCTCCGCTTCCGTGATGTTGGGAATAGAATTCCTCATCTCGGAAAAGCGTCTGATGTAGTTGCGGAGGAGCTCAGATGGCTTCTGGTTGATGCGGTTGAGATCATGCTGGGTGTCCGGCCGAGTACACGTAGCCATATAATTATCGGTAAAGACTTTTTTCAGCTCTTCCCAGGATCCGATGGAGTCCGGGGCAAGGCTTGTAAACCAGCTCATGGCGGCTAGCGTGAGCATGACGGGAAGATAGTTCACCATGACACTGGTGTCTCCTCCGGCGGCGCGGACAGCAGTGGCGTAAGCCTGTATCCACTGTGTTGGATTCATCCTTCCTTCGTAGGGCTTGACCTCGGTGATTTTAAAACCACGGGGCCACTAAAGTGTTCGGAGCGCCCTCGTGAATGCTGGGGGCCCTTTGGGGTTGTCGACGCCGTCGTCTGCAGCGTTGTCGGCGGCTCGCGGCTAGAGAGCTGAGTCCGGGTTACCGTACTCTTGCTCGTACTCCTGGTGGTGGCGTACTTCTTCTTCATGGCGACCGAAACGGCGTTCGACGATACGTCGTCGTGCATCTTGAAGATTGTTGAGGTGCACTCGGACGTCTTGGTCAACCTCCTGGTCGGGTTGGCGGTGATGTTCAATGCGGTTGCCCTAGCTCCGCCCTGGAGGGGTTGCCTGTCGTCGCGGTGCTGGTCGGTGAAGCGACTTGGGCGGCGATTGGATCTTGTGGTGATTGATCGGTGAATCGAGGTTGTGGAGTAAGAAGGTCTCTGATCCTGGCGGATCTCATTAACCTGGCAATGTGCCGCTTTAAGCATTGCGGCGACCTTGGCGACCTCCGGCGTCTGCAGGAGCCGGGCGAGCCCATTGGCAGCCACGGCCAGGTTGGCGCTTGGGGTCTTGTAGATGTCGTGGCCATCAACACGGACAAACTCGTCGCCGAGGTTGCGTTGGAGTGGTCTTCCTTGCAAATCAAGCTGCTACTCGGCCCTCGCAAGGACAATCTCGTTTGCTCGGCGCTGCGCGCGGTTGACGTTCCGGTTCTCGCGAGCGGCGCGTTCCTCCTCGGTTTCGTCGTTCCGAGGGGGGCTGTCGACGCTGACATTAAAGATTGCGCCGCCACGAAACTAAGGGGGAAGAAGTAGTTCGGTGGTTGTTTCGGCGACGGTCTCCGTAGAGCCCTGGGACTCGGAGTCCAGATTCTCCTCCAGGATGGTCTGGAGGGACGCTCCGGAGCGTCGACCGACGTAGAGCATGTTGACGGCCGGCGGAGGCTGGTCGGCGGGAGGATGGACGGCTCCAACCTGGTCGGCGAATCTACCCCTTAAGGCATCTTGGTAAGCGGCGGCGGCGTTGGTGAACCCGAAGGGTAGGGCCGTAACCCCTGGAGTTTCCCGAGCAGCCTCCGATAGATTTGGATCGGAGGGTGATTGACCCTGAACTAGAGTGTCCAGAGCTGATTCGACGATGGAGAGGCAATCGGTGAGCTTTAGACCAATCCGATCAATGGATGCGATCAGATCGTCATTGTTGACCTGCCTCCTCTGGTAGTGAGGAAGCGGGCGGCGAGTCATCGATGAAGGCGACCTCAGAGGCGGTTCCGAGATCGGATCTGCAATCGCAGGTGCAGGGGTGATCGACGCAAAATTGATCTGCACCGGCTCGAGGAGCTCTCGACTCCGTCAGCGTTGATGATCCACGAGATGGATCCGACCGTGAAGATCTGGCCGGGCTGCGGGAGGGACGAAGAGCCTGCGGAAAAAGCCATCTTGTTCGACAAGGAAACAGCACGCACACCCCTACCTGCCGCGCCAATTGTCGACAGAATATCGTCGACAGTCCTCCGAGGGGTATCCCGCGAAGGTAGATTGATCGGCAGAGAAGCGTGTGATCAAGAACAAGAAGGTAACAGAGACGCACGAGTTAGATAGGTTCAAGCCGTTAGTATGACGTAATACCCTACTCATGTGGTCTGTTGGTTTGTATTAGCTATCGTACGATATTGCGTGAGTTTAGAGGGGGTCCCTACCTACCTTATATAGTCCGGGGGGCAGGGTTACAAGTCGGTTAGATCTGAGAGATAACTGAAAAGTAATAACATATTACAGGAATCTTGGGATCATACGCATCCTAACAGATCTCGTAGTATCTTTAGGATATCTTCCCGGTGTCTTGCGGGAGGCGCCGAGCAGAGTCGTGCCCCACAAGGCTTCATCTTGTGGGCTGGGCCGCCCCTAGAGGCGCAACCCATATGGTTGGGTATCCGGGTCATACCCCCACAGCTCTAAAGTGATTCCCGGACCATCATATGTGGCCATTTTTTTTATGTTTAATAGTATTGGTGGTTCAATTTTAACCATGACTTTTTTATTAAACATAGATATAATATTTAATAAAGTTTGTGATTATGAAAGGGTTACTCGAGATAAATATAACCATACCATTTTGTGTATTCGAGAAAATTTTGTCGGTCCTTCTATCGGTGTCCAAATTTGAAAATTTTCACCAAATTATAGTTAATGTGTCATATATGTGACCATAGAGGTACAAGTTCGATGAAATACAAGGTCTGATTGCACAATAGAGTATGCCCCGATGAACGAAGATCGGTCGGGTTCGCATTCTGTAGACAGTCAAGAAAAAAGGCTGGGCTCCTGTTTAGAAAGGAACTCTACCTTCCATTTTTTAACCGACGGTTCTGACCGTATGAAAACCATCAATTGCGAGCCATGGTCCTTGTATGTTAAGGCGGAGATTAATTAACGTAATTGCTGCCATAACAGGCGCCTATCTGTAGACAGATTGGATCGATAAAACTTAAAAAAAAATACTAGAGCCGGCGGTACACGAAGGCCAGTTCGGCGCAGGCACAGGTGACAGATGTGCTCTACTCCTCTGCTGCTGCAGGCTTATACCATGGCGCCCTGAGCGACCTGGCAGGGCGACGCTGAGGGTGGCGGAGGCAGTTGCAGAGGCGGCGGATGAAGTCGACGACGGGCTGGATGCGCGACAGGAGCACGATCACCGGGCCCAGCACGCCCCCGGTCACCGTCACGATCGCCATTGGCTCCATGGCCTTGCCCTGTGTCTGATCCGATCTCCCTGCAAAGATGGAAGGAAAACCTTCACCTCAGGCAGTTGCGCGCGCAATTAAGCTTCTGACAGTCTCTTGGCCGACCGAGAGCAGCACAGCACAGGAGGCGCAGATTTATGCAAGAGGTCAATGACCTGGTGTTGGAGACGTTCCACGCGGTAACTGTGGGGCGGCCTCCACGCCGGTCGAAACGCCTATTTTTGGGAGCGAGCGGTTAAGGATGCATGGTTGAGGAACAACCAACGTCTGAGCAAACTTTAGTGAACCAAACAGCTAAATAGCAAGGAAAAAAAAATTCTGGCCACAATATGTACATTTCAATTATGCTGCATCCCTAACATTACTCCTACACAATGCAAAAAATGGTGATGCTTCCTACACCAAACATGTTAGCAGTTGGTAAAAAAATACAAAATACCCGGATGGTGAGCCACCCATCTATGTTCACAGTACAAATCACTATGCCACATTCCACATTGTTTACAGCACAAAATGTATGAAGCTAAACATGGCTCATCTCCATCTGTTAAATTCGCATTGGTGAGCTTGACAGGAAAGGCTTTACCGTTATCTTAAGCCCCGCATCCCCTAACTGGCCCAGTACACTAAGAAACGATCTGCTTGGCTATGCTGAAACATGTTTTCTCACTACACGAAAACATGAAATTCAAGTGGATCCACTACTGTGCTTGGAGAAAATTTATGAGGCCCAACTGAATCAGCTATTTCCGATGCTTCCTTTTTGTTTCAGTTCTTGGTCGCTTTTCCTCTTCCCATTCCCTCTCGTGCATTCTGCAGTTAAACCAAGTTAGGTTCGTTCGAGAAACAGAACTAGCATAATAAATTGAATTGCTCTTAAAACACAATTCAAATGTCGTTAAATAGTAAATAATGTAAACATGTGCAAGTGAATAGCACCAGAAAGCATAATACTACAAAAGTAATTCTTTTATGACTACAAAAGTATAGGAGAAAAAAAATGTGACACTGATTTGCTGTTATATTTGCCTTTCATTTGCACAAATGTAATACATTTATTGAAAACGATTCAAACATATGAGGTAGAATGCGATTAATATTTTCCTTTTGTTACGAAGGATAGCCACAGTTTAAGGAAACTTAATGAATACGTAAACCATGCTGTTACAGGGGGGATTTGCTTTCAAACCTAGCAACGACAAAGCCAGGGCTTGCCAAAAACACCACCAATCATGCACGGCATGCAGTTACCACCAGACAAGGCCCCCCTCATCATTGTCATGGTTGGAACATTGGGCAATTTTCTATATGTTAATCATTTGGTGATCTCCTGGAAACAGCCTCTTGCAGAAATGCAGGGAAAGGCTGCATACAAAAGACCCAAGTGGTCGGACCCTTCCCTAGACCCTGCGCAAGCGGGAGCTTCGTGCACTGGGGCTGCCCTAATCATTTGGTGATCTATTATATACCAAAACTACTACAACAACCAACATTTGGCTAAAGATACATCATTTTAGTTGGAAGTTCATCAAGGTCTCATCACAGACCAAGAAATCATTTCCATCTTCCGCCATAAGACTGTAGCAGCTTTTCAGCAGGGCAATGTCAAGCCAACTAGGTAGCATTAGAACGTGTATATGTAATTCTAGAGGATCCAGATTAGATGGGGGCATGCGTGCTGCGTATGCAAGATTTTGGATGAAGTGATACAAGTGTGGTTTGCTAGGTTGGTCTGCAACAGCAAGCACCAGGGCCAAATGACACTATGTTTACTGAATGGTGGCGCCATGCTAGGCATCAAGTGGCTAAGCAATATCACAAGGGCTTCAATTCTCAAGTTGAGTTAGTTGCTTGGTGGATTTGAAAACATAGAAATGGTTGTTTTTTTTAGGGGGGCTCACCTAGTCTTAACACCTAAAGAACATTAGAGATGAGTCCTTTTATGGTGTATGGCAAGGGCCAAAGGTCTCGAGGGCATTTTGCCATATGAGTTGGATATGGATCGTTGGCCGTAGTTTTTATTCTTTCTTCGCGACTCTTCTGTACAAGAACTGCCCTATTGGCCTTGTTTGAGGCTTCTTAGGGCAGTCCCAACACAGCGTCCATGGTAGTTTCTATAGCATTGATTATCTTGCCATGTAGATGTTTTGCTGACGTGGAAGAACAATTAAAGAAGAGAGGTGGAATATGTTTCTCCCCTGAGAAAACGTTTCTCGGGCTCCAATGGGCCAAGAAAACACCATCCTGCGTTGGGGCGCCCATGTCATTTCCATCGGCTTCACTTCGGACCACAGCAGGATCCCGTGCACTTTTCTCCTGGCCGCCTTCGCCCCCCTCACCCGAGCCATCCGTGAGCATGCACCATCGTCCTTCCCATCGATCCTCTTCTGCGCCACTATCCTGGGCGGAGAGGACCGGCTCCAATCGACCCTCTTCTGCCCAACTGATCCCCACCCGATGCCCAGCTCTACCCCCTGACCTCGATGTGCTATACTCATCCCCAATCGATCCTGCTCCACCTGCTTCTCATCCTTAATCTCTACAAGGATGGATCAATAGGGAAAGGGAGGTGTGGAATGAGACAAAAGATCGAAGAAGTCTTCTAGCTCCAGACGACGCACTAGTGCAAGCAGCAGGTGCTCCTACCTATGTTGCCTCCATCGGTGCTCTTATGATCCTCTCTCTTCTGGCCCAGTCTCCAAGCATAAAGTGCTACTGCAGCCAGTGGATGATGGTGATGTACCGCCCAACAGCTCAGAATGGTATGGTTCTGGGTATAATTGTTCACCTCATTCTTATCTGCAGTTGATTATTTGCAGAAGTGTACATCAGTGCATGTACCTGCAGAGTATCATGTGCACAGTTGGTACTTGGTCGCTGGATTTGTCTCACGCGTATAGTTGAGCATCACCTAACAGTAAATATATGATGGCTACATGGATCATGGATGCTTGTTGTAGCTGATCAACTCCATTTTGTGATGTATGCATGTGGTCATTAAATTCCCTCCCCCTCTCTCTCTAGAAACTACTCAAAGAAACTATGGGTTGGGACTGCCCTTAGGCTCCTTTTCTCTCCCTAACATAGTAACATAATGATGCTGTGCGTTCGAGGTCCCATAACATAAGTTTGACCCTTGATTTTTATTGTAATATATTTGTAAACTCTGTGAATTATAATATCACGCGACTACTCTTTCGGATGAATCTATTCATATCAAATTCAAATGCACAATATTGATGTCCAAACATTAGAATGATTCCATAAAATACAACACACAAGCCACTTTTTCACGGCTGAGGGGAGAATTGTTGTTGATTTCTGTAAAGTTCAAATTATTAGTTATTTTTACACAGCCTCATTTGGTAGGAAAAATAACATCCTATAGCGTTGCAGTTTCTGTGTAGAACATTGGAACTTCTGAGAGAATGTAATCAAAGCTAAGACATTATGACTTTGATTTTGTCAACAGAATCCAACAAACCAAGAAAACAGAAATCAAAGATTAAATCGCAAAGTGGAAAAGAAGATATTTGTTAGAAAATGTGTAATGCATATTTGAACAAGAAATTATTCTTTATCAAACTCACTGGTCAGAATCTCGACGACTTGACTTGCTTGTCGTGTCCTTGCCATGTGTCCTAGGAAGGTCATCAATGTGTGAGGTACGATGCTGTGAAATTACCCCTTTCCTTTCTCTTTCTCGTATGTCAGACAATTGTAAGCTGCCAGATCCATGGGAGGGAGGCTGTGGAGCAGAAGGTGCATATTCCCCAGCTTCTAAAGAAGTCTGGTCTCGCTTGATCTTTCTCCATTTATAAACATTACTAGGGTCACTGTCTTCTTTCAAAGAAGTCCCCTTTTCCCTATCCCTGTCATCTACCTATACAATCAACAAAGGATCTGTAAGTCAAACAAGTGGTTCTTGAAGTTAAAGCCACCTTACAACGCAGCATATGTGAAATTACAGCTATAGGATTCTTCTGCTATCAAATGGCAGCTAACAATCATGGAATACAGAACAAATGTAAAATTGTACTGATACAACAAAAAAGAAGAGTACACAGTGGTCACACACCAGATGCAGGACATAAATTGGTAAAGACATCTTTTACCTTGTTTGATAAAGCATCCCTATCCTCACGCTTTCTATCACGAATATCTTCCTCTCTTCTGTGCTTCCCATCATCCTGAAATGACGAAGTATTCTCCTCTGACTGCCTCCTTTCTCTCTCATCGCACCTGGGAGATGACCTTTGAACATGCCTGGAGCTCCCACCCCATAGGTCAGCATCTTCTTCACGTCGGTTGGCACCAACTGATTGGGGTACAAAACTTGCGGGAAGAGGTGGGGGCGGTGGCAAACTTTGCCCTCGGAATCGTTCATCAGAAGAATGTGTCCGGTCCACCGAAGGTTCAGCATATTTAACTTTATTCCTCTCATCCTTATTTCTATCCTCTCTACCTTTTTCAATGGCTTTGTCAGTAACTCTCTCTTGCATCCTTTCAATAGAACGTTCTCTCCTCTCCGACAATCTATCTGTTGATCTCTCAATGGCATCTTCCCCACGACGCCTTTCACCTCGATCTAATTTTTCCCTAGGATCTCTGTCGTATTTATCATCAGATTTCTCTTTCATTTTGCCTGCCCTACTTAAGTTTTGTTCCTCATTAGGAATCTTCTCATAATCCACTGAACGAAACTTATCTCTGCCACATGAGTCCAAAATATTTTCCTTGTCTACATGGTGTTCACTCAAATCGGGTTCATTTGCTCCTTTCCTCCGTTTACCTGATCTATCTTGCTCCTCAATCGGAGGTCTTTTTTGCTGTCTCACGGTAGAGTCAATCAGATCAGTAGACTCACCAGAAGGATTAGCTGCTCCATTATGTGTAACTGCATTTCTTTGAGAAGATGACGAAACCTTCCACGGCACTGGATGCAAGTTACCATTGCTAATAGTGGTACTGGTTTCTTGGGCAGCATCAGCTGAATGAGACAATGCTTCTCTATCAACAGTAGAGACTTGTTGATTTACATTCCAGCTGGTAGATTTCCCAGCTTTTGCATCTTCCTTTGCAACATCATGCTTCATTACCTTCACAGCATTGCCAGCACGCTTTTGTGTTGCTCTTATCTGTTGCATAAAAGAACTGAAATAAATTCCAAAAGCTCATGTCCCGCACAACATTGCTCGCTGATATGCATACAAGCATAATGATTAATGATATTTATTGATTATAAGACACCTTTAGGACAAGCTATGCCCACGAGGAATTCAATAATTAAATAATGAGTCAAGAAGCTACCCCCCCCTGTTTAGCCATAGCCAGGTGTTGCCTAAAACTATGAGAACCTAGACTCTTTCCATGCTATACATATTAAATTAGCTATGTAATTAATGATATCAAATATCAAACATCGAGTACAACCTGACAAAATTCAAATAGCACAAGACTTTGGCGGCAAACAGTGCCCATGAAAATATAGAGGTCAAAAGTAGGCACTAATAACCAGGCATTCAAACAAATAATTGAAATCGTGACTGATAGATATGTACATTAGGAAAGTGTATATTAGGAAAGTCTATATTTAGTATTTAGTATGATTAGCACCTGCCATGTATTGGCTATATATATCAAGGTCACCCCCCACATTGGGTGTGTGGTGTTTTCCATTCAATCTCTGTTATTCTACAATCTCTGTTATTCTACATGGTATCACGGACCGAGATCAATTAGATCCCGGACCTTCTGCTTCCGCCTCCTTCCTCCCCACCTCTCTCCTGGGCGCTCCTCCTCCCTGTGGCGAGATGTCTCCCAACGCCGATGCCTCGGCCGCAGCAGCTGCCGCTGCTGCACCATCAACGCCGCAGGCCGTCGTCGTCCACCCCTACACCACCGAGAACGTGAAGACTCACATTCTGGTGACCCTGGAGATGAAGAATCCCAACTTCACCAAGTGGGCTTCGTTCTTCAAGGCCTTGTGTGGGAAATTCAGCCTTCGCCCCCACATCGACGGGCCAGCTCCTCCGGCTGATGATCCATCGTGGGACATTGCCGAGTGCACTGTCCGCGGCTGGATCCTCAACACCGTCGATGACTCGGTTCTTGATCTTGCCATCACCGACAAGAACCAGTCCGCCCGCGAGTTGTTGGTGGCGATTGAGGGCCTCTTCCGCTCCAACCGCGCGCCCCGGGCCGTCTTCCTGCTTGAGGAGTTTCACTCCTTGAAACAGGGTGACTCGACGATTGACGAGTACTGCCAGCGCCTCAAGATCA